AAAACAAGAACTTATGAAAGGAAGGACAGCGTGAAGGAGAGAACTATGCCTTAGAATGACACAACAGATTCCAGCCCATCTCCTGCTCTGTCACAGGTTTTTCTCCATGACCTTCAGAAAAACCACTCAAACGCTCTCTCAGTTCTTCATCCATAAAGCAAAGGCAGAAGCACTGTATTACCTCATGAGGTTAATGTGAGGTTAAAAATGATTCCCATAAAAGTACTGTAGTCTTAATAAATACTGGAAAACAAATCAGTTGTACAAGATGCTGAACTGAGATGGCTCCTACTACAAATGGCTCATAAGCTTAATATCATAGTGCAGTGACTCCACAGTTCTGTGATATCCTAACTGTGTACGGGAAGACTGCACAAAGGGGGAATTTAACTTCAGCACAACATGCTGACTAAATGTCATTTGAGACAACCCCAAACTCATTAGATGTCTTTCTGTCATTGGATTCAGCAGTGAAGACAAAAAACAAGGTCATAACAGAGCTGTAGAAGTTCACTGCCACCACTTAGCAGGAGGAGTGGCATTAGTGGAACTAAGCCACCCGCTCTTTTTTTCATTCTCCATCCAGTAGGACAGACCTACATGTTGTCCTACAGACAAAGCTGCATGTCGTGGTAAAAAAACAAAATTCAAATGAAAAAAAGCCCATCAAGCCACTTCACAGTCATTGTAATAATTCAGCTTACAAATAAGTGAAATTATACATCTTCCTCCTTCAGCTGGGACATAGAAAAGATGCTGACAAAGTAAAAAGGGATAGGAGGAAGTGGAGCAGTGGGTATCCCAAGGCTCATGTTGCCAGGTGTGGAAAGTTCTTGGCATGAGAACTTTTGACGAGAAATGAAGGACATACACTCCTCTTATGTCCTAACTGCCCCAGAAGAGAAATACATTAGATTTCACCTAAGAGGATTCATTCAATGGATGAAGTTTTGAGAAAGAAAGAAAGAAGCAAACCATAGAGTTTTGCTACAGATTCTTCCTTCCCTGAAGCACCCACATCTCAGTGGAGCTCAGGCACATTGGGTCACCTTGGACAAGCTCCTTGCTAGCTCACCGAACACTGCAACAGCAGCTCAGTCACTGCCTCTGGTATGGGAGGCTTTCCCTGTGGAGCTGCTTATTAGATGCAACAGCTGAATGGCAGGGAAATGCCAGAGAAAATGAAATTCTGGGGCACTGTACAGTCCCATCTCTAATCTCTTGAAAATCTAGGTATCACTTAGGTACCTCCTGACATCTATACTCATGATGGGTGATCCAGATGACATTTACCTTCTTCATACACTGCAAAATGCACATTTATGACATAAACATTTTTTCTATTTGAACTTCTGTAATTATCAGCCTTCTAGGAGATTTTTAGGACAAAACTTTTTAATTTAAAAAAATAATAATTTTGAAGGTACATGTACACATAGGCCTTCTCGTAAAATATACGCACTGTAAGAATTTGCTGGGATTCAATATTTATGCATCTAGTTTAGCATGCTAATCTTTTTTTCAAAGCTCAGCATAGACTATTAATTTCCACATTTCAGGTTTTTCAGAAGTAAAGTTCAAAATGTACAGCTACCCACCCTTGTCACAGAATTGAAGATATACTTCTACCAGCAAATGGCCAAGAGAGAGAGATGATATTACCTTAACAGCAGCTACATCCCAAATAATTCTTGTGAAATCACTTCTATTGTTGATGATCCTATCAGAGACCCAGAGATAAGGAAACCTCCTGCATCCACTTTTACAACAGGAACTTTATCTGGCCCATCCAGGACACGGTAACTCCGCGAAGCCACTTGGTCCCTTAAGAAAACAAGCAAACCAGAAAAACAAAAAAAACCCAGGAGATCCCCTTAAATGAGTTCAACCATATCTACACCAATACATTACACAAGTCTAAGACTGCTCTTTGGTGTGTGTTTTTCCCACATGTCTGCAATGCAAGCTGAAAAGTCTGTGTTCTAGTCTAAGATTGAAAAGTTTTAAGTTCTGATTCAAGCTCGCTCGGAAGAAAACTTATTAAGGTGTAGGCACGTGTTGAAATCTAGTCTCCATCCATTGCCCTGCAGCGTCACCACTCACTGATGTAACCTTGATTCCAAATAATAATGGCTAAGGCCACAACAAGCAGCTTCTGCCCTCATTTTCTGTAAACAATATTTAGAGGCAGATTAGTCTGCCAGGGGCAGTGCTTGGATTAGAGACGAAGTCAGGGACTTGATAAAGTGGATCCCATCAGTTTCCTGGAAATGGTTTTATAGACAAGGCTAGTTTTTGGAATAGCTCTTACCATGATATTTGGATAGTAGTGAAATGAGCAAATACACAAACTGTAACTAGTGGGCATTCTGAGACATTAGTTACTTTTAAGTATCACTTATCACATCTTCTAAAAGATCTGCAGATGATTATTTTTTTTGTCCTCCCAAGCTCCTCCACTGAGATTGAAATACTGCATCCTAGGAAAAAAAGCATTCAAGCTGGATTTTACTTGCCCTTTTCCTGGCAATAGTGTAATTATTTTTGATGGTAGAGTTCAGACATAGGGGCTCCAACATCGGATAGTGAAGGTAATGGGACAAAGAAATGCACCAACTGCTATCGAGCAACTTAATGACTAATTAATTAGTAAAAATGCTCAGAGGAGACAGCAAAACAACATTAGTAAATTACTATAAATGACAAGGCTCCTAAATAACTGTTTTGAAAGCAGATACTGAATGGCCATGGTCACTGGAGCGCCAGTGAAACTAATGTCTCTTTCCCCTTGAAAAATAAATGTATCTAAAGCCTTGCCCTCAGTTCATGTCCTGCTGTTTCCATCTGCACACTCTTACGCAAGGAAAAATAAATTTTGAGCTTGAAACGAGTCTGAAATGTTAGTCTTTGAAAACAGGTTATGTAAAAAGGACTTCTCATTTGGAAAGGAATTCTAATCACAAAATCCAGTCATAGCCTTTGTGTAAGAAATAGAAGTATAGCCCATAAAGCCTTGGTCACCCATAAAAAGCTAGTGTAAGCAGGCTGCAGCTTGTCCTGGTTTGGGGTAAATAGAGCTGGTTCTGCTCTGTGATCTTACTTTTTAACTAAAATCCCTCTAATCAACTGCTCTGTCTGAGTTAGCAGTGTTTTCATAAACTATCTGGCTGTAGCAGGGATAAGACTTCATGTTTAGAGTTACTGCCAGGGATTGGTGTGCAGACCAAGGCCACTGCTAAGCTTGGATCCCACACGGAGGGGGGCAGAGAGCACCCCGCACCTAGGGGGAGGAGCGGGCAGGAGAACTGACCCCAAGAGTCACCAGTGGGGTATTCCATCCCATAGCCATCATAGCCAGTAGAAGCTGGAGGATCAGGAGGGACAACGCCTTCCGAGTCTGCTACTACTGGGCTACTGACTGCTGCTACTGCAGTGGACGGCATCTACAAAAAACTTCATCCATCCTACCTTTGTTTTCAACTCCTATGTTCCTGAACTGAGTTCCAGAATCCAGCTCCTGTGCCCAGTCCCTGTCTGTGACCAAGTCCAGCCTGGGATCCTCTCCCTGGAAGCTTCTCCCCAGCCGGGGGTGACGATGACATATTACAATCAGGGGGAACTGAATTCGGGACTAACTTTATATATTTATATATATTTGTACATAACCTACTTTATTATTATTACTACTATTATTACTAATGGTAATATTCAAACTTTTCTAATCAACAAATCTCTCTCTCTCACTTATTCCCTTTCCCTTTCAGGGGTAGAGGGAGGGGAGAAAGCGTCTATCACAATTCTGAGGACTACCCTGATCCCAAACCACAACACAGCTTTAACTGGATAAGCATCTTTTAATATAAGGATCTAAAAGTTGCAAATATTGAATAAATTTTCAAGCTACAACCTAATACAAGATTTGACAGAGCCCATGAGTGCAGGTAAGATCCTACTAATCCTAAGATCCAGAGAAGTTGTGTCTTAGATGTGATACTCTTTTTAAACCACTGAGACAGCTTCGTTCCAACAGAATTGCTTTATGGGTTTGATAAACCGTTGATACAAATCACAGTCTGAAAACTGATCACTAACCTGTTTGTCTGAAGTTTAATAAAGGAATTTGGTGACATTAAGATCTGCTCTGCTTCTGCTTCTGGAGTGACTAGATAAAGTTTTTCAAACACCTGGGAAATAAAATGCATTTTAGTCTACTGTTGTATGCAGCAAGTAATTTATTTCCACTTATTTCACTTTCAAAACAAACAAAAATCCCCAAATAAAACAACAACACACTTTTTTTTTTATGTTGTATATAGCAAAGAAAGAATTAAACATGTATATTTGAAAGTGGGACAGGCAGCAACTTCTAGGAATTATCCTGAAGAACGTTCATTTCTATGGCTATAGCTACACTCTGCAGCAGTGTGAAAAAACAGAGGTAGATTGGTCAAGCAAAATGTGGTTGGAGACCTCACAAGTCTGAGCCCATGAACTGAATGTCCACATGAGGGGCACTCAAGCACATTTTCCAGTTTTCTTTTGTCTAAAGGAATTCAGCTGACATACTTTGAAACTGCTCCTCAGTAAGAGGCAACCTCTTCACTCATTTCAGAAGCCAGTTCCTGCTCCAAGAGAACATACTGGCACAGATGTGTATGACAGGCACCACACCCAAGAAATATTCTTGTGCAGCGGGGAGCTCCAGCAGCAATGTGCTGGTACGACTCGAACAGTGCTTACATACAAGACACCAGTCACCTCAGTTTGACCTATAGCAAAAAATTAACTCCTGAATTTCATTCAGGCATCACACCAGTGTGTGACTGCTCAGTGTACGCCTTACCAGCATATGGGGAACTTGGACGTTTCCAAACAGCACTAAGTTATATAAAGAAGAGTAAGGGCTCAAAGATAAACCAAAATTAGAACTACTCTTTTGTGTTTCAAAATCCTGATTTCAAATACAGATTTTAACACAGCTCTGAAATAGGTATTACAACAGTAACTGTGAGGAACACCATCATACCTGAATTTGGATTTCATCGGAGAGTTCTCTTGCCATGTTGTGGAACTGGTTGGCTGCAGGATCAAGGACCTTGACAACAACTTCCAAGCCTGATTCTCCCTTCACTCTGGCATAAACATCCACTGCAAAATTATATTTTGCAGGAAGATGAAAAGAGGTCTGGGACAGGAAAAAGTGATTAAAAATTTCCTCACAGAAAGAACTGACATTGATACAGAGGGAAGACCACACCCAGTGCTGACAATCACTTTGATTTTCAGTCTGTGGAAGGCACAATATTTTCTCAGTTCCCAGCATGGGGCTGTTTCCTTTCCCCAGGATACACACACGTGCAAGTGCACACACAGTTTACCTCGCTGTGTCTTGTCTTGACATCCAGAGTGTCCCTCTTTGTGACAGACCAGTGGAACATTAACCCCTGGACAGCGTTGCCAAATGGAAAAGGAGTCTGGCTACTGGTGATGCCCATGACATAAACTGCCATCTAGAAACAGAGAAACCAACTTTCTTAGGTAATTCCGGGATGTTAACCAAAACTGCACAGTGCAAACATCATGAAGCTTAAAGCTGACTGATGCAGAGATAGTATTTTCTGTGAAGGAAACAGTCCGCCTGCTGTGTATGTTGTAAGGATGTATCATGCACAAGACTCAACCAACAACTTGTAAAAAGTAAATTTGGATTCTTTATCTCTTGCTACATCATACTCTGCAAAAGGACAAATACCACTTTTCCATCAGAAAAGATAAGTTCAACCCATTCATTCATCCATTTGCAGCATCAAATCAATTTAGTTTTTGACATTACACTTGAGTTTTTGACATCTTTCTCTAGGTGATGTTCCTGATTAACTCTGCTCTGGACATCAGCTTTCCCCTTCCAACTCTCCATATTAAGACAGTGTAAACATATAAACACAAAACATGGATTTTCACATTTTTATTTTTAATCTTCAAAGTAATTAATTCACCTGGGCAAGCTAGAATCGGCAGGTGTTCTGGAATGGGTAACTAATAGGGGAAATACAGACCCTTAAAAAGTAGACTTAGGGTAAGATAATTTGACCGATATCTGTTGTTCTGGATAGAGCAGACATAGTGTAGATTTGTGGCATGCAAAGGGAGAAAGTCCCCACTGCAGACAGAACGAATATGAGAGAATACTTCTCCAGTTAAATGATGCTTCTTCAGCAGGGTCTGAATTTCTGAAAATCAGTCTGGTGTATAGGGTAAGTTTGTCCTGATTTCTGTTTTAATATGTTCAGCTCTGGACATTCTCTACCGACAGCACACTCACTCCTGCAGCAGCAGTGCTACCCCAGTGCTACTATCTGGTGATCTAATAGGAACAGTCACAGCTTTTCAGGTCAAAATTTTAAGGCAATAAAGCTAACTACAAATCCACCAACCTGTGTCCCAGTTTTCATTCGTGTTATTGGTGCACGAATCCTAACAGCTGTCAGCTGTATGACTTCAACTTCCACTTTGTCCTAAAAAGAAGGAAGAGAAGACGTTGTAAACACTTGCCAATGTGAACTAGATGTCACCTTCAGGATCTAGCCACTCTTTCACCATACTCTAACCACAGTTGCCAAGTGATTTATCACAAAAATACAGATGAACATAATTCAGTAGGACTGTAAGGAACTACAAGAGCATTAACTTTTGGTTGATAGGCATTTAAAAATCCCACATCAAAAAAAAAAAAAAAAAAGCTGGGCTCAAAATTTCTGACGTGCCCGATGGGGCTGAGCGGGCAAGGACAGGATCATAGGGTTCCCCAGGAGAAGAGGGATGAATAAACCCAGAGGGTGAAGGAACACCTTGACAGAATTAGAAGGAAATGAGAATAGTAAGCAGCAAATGGGACAATCAAGAATAAAAGGATGGTGTGATACTCTGTCTCCTCTTCACATATTCTGACATTCCTGATAGATTTTATTCCTACTGTATAGCAGGGAGGAAAGGTCAGAGTTGGACCTCACTGAGCAGCAGATTTAGCTTTCCAGTTCATTCCGCTTCCTGCCACAGCATCAGGGCAGACTGCTGCCCCTGCCTAACAAAGCACAGACAGATATCTCTTTTCTAAAAACATTAGTCTCCTCTTGGCCTGTGGCGACATCTTTCAACAGCAGAGCTCTGTGGTGTGCAGCAGCTGTCCTGCCTTGACCTCAATGAAGAGCCACAAGATTGGTCCCAGGTTCTGTTGTTCGAGTCACAGGCAAGCCCCAGGGACTCGTGCTCTGTTCCAGGCCCGCTCAAGAGCCTCCCTCACGCTCAGCTAGGGGGGAATCCTACGGACAGATTCTGAGGGAACATCAGGGATTCACTGCTTGAACTTCCCAGATGGATTCAGACAGCTTGCCATACAGCCCACCTATAGCTTAAGAGATGCTGTGTTTCTTAGGGAACAGTCACCTTCTGACTTCTACTAACATGAGACACTGCTAAACTGCAAAGTGATGCAGGCAAGGACAGCCTTCTGTGGGGTTAGAAAGGCTTCTTGAGAGGGGCTTTTCTAGATTTACTAACCAGTTCTAAAACTAACAGAACTTTTGTTTTAAGGTACAGCAAGATTTAGGTGTCTGTTGGAACTATCACCCATGTCAGCACATGTGTAAATTCACTGGGATTATGAAACTCTGGTTTTTCATTTCCTGAAGGAAAGCAGTGAAGTACACAGAGTAACATTACTGATGCAAAAAGATTATTTGCTCATTTTGAGCCAAACATGTGAGTTAGAGGGAGCCTCTTTGAGCCCTGAACAGTATCACAAAACATTACCTGAGACACCACAACAAGCTTCCCTGTCTCTGCATCCACAGCTTGCACCACTCCTGTTACTGTCCCATTCCCAACCGCCACTCCTCTGACCAGCCCAGTGCTCTTCACTGATGCAATCTTCTCATCACTGATGGAGAAAATGATGTTGGACTGAGGTTGAGGGCCTCCTTCTGAAGTGATCTGTAATTAACAGCACACAGATCAACTAAAGTTAACCCATCAGATACTTATTCTGGTTAATGTTACGTGGTACGTCACTTCCCTACTCAACACCACAGTGTTTCCAGTAACAGGAAGATGCCTGAACCTCCCAGGACATCTTAGGGCTTATTTCTCCTGCACATTGGTCCTTGTGTGATGGCAGACTGGGAAATAGGCAAGCTAAACAAAAAAGTGGCCGATGTATTTTGCAGAATGTAACAGGCTCATGCTACATCCAGCACTGAAAGCTTCGGAAAAATCTACCTCACTTCCTCTTCACCACACATGGTATCGCTCTGCTCTGTGCTTCAGTTTGTAGAACAAGCCCACTCGTTAATTAATTCATTTCATGGAGGTGACAGATCTATTAATGCCGTGCTGGTATTTAACATTGGAAAAGGCGACACTCCCTCAACACCAATAAATACAAAACCTTTGGTCCAGCAACACAGTAAAGCAGGAGATGAATGCAGCTAAATTCCCAAGCTGGGTATCTCTTCCTGAAAGAGAAGTTCTAGATATTGACTTTAAAATAGATATTACAAAAGAAAGAAAACATGCAAGAAAGTGCCCTACCTGCATCATGGCCCCAATAATGAGGGTCACTTTCCTTGGCAGCAGTCTAAATGGGGGAAAGACCTAAAAATAGAAATATTAAGACTTGTGTTTGTGCTATTTTCATCAGGTAAATTATGTCACAAAACAGTACATAAAAGTGTAAGAATGAGTCTTCACTTGTCCAATTACAGTAAATTGAGAAGGCAGAAACTTAGCTCATAATGCAGTTCAAAAGCACTATACAACCTGAAACAGATTAGCTTTTGGGACACTTCTGGTCAGAATGAGCAGTTTATATTTTCTGGCAAATTAAATACAATACTATAAATTAACTACAACATACTGTTCCTATTCTGTCATAACACAGATTTGGTTTATGCATGTATTTGGTCTGAAAGGGTTTACTTCAATCTGTTTTGGAACAGAGTTGATTCTTTCTCCTCTTTTGTCAGCAACAGTTGCCGTAAGACTGGTCTGGCCAATGGCCATGCCGTGCACTAGAAAAGCAGCAGTATGGTCATCAAGGGCTTCGCTGAGTGGGCTATGGCAAAGAAACACATTAAAACAGAGATGTTAATTGAATAAATTACATCAGTAACAAAGGACTTATTCAGTGCACAGCAGTTTTATCATAAGGATGAGTAGATAACTATGTCTTAAGCAAAATTAAAGTAACCATCACATTTCTACATGTAACACCATGAAATGGCTCTTTGTGGCCTGTGTCTTAACTTGAAATTAAATACTTGAAATTAAAATTAAAGAGTGTTATGTACGGAGAAAAACCAAACCCAAAGAAAGTGGTCCAAGCCTTGATTACATCCCTTGACACTATTTAACTTCCCTAGACATCACAGAATCATTATTACCAATTACCTCAGCACTAAAAAATCCAACAGTCCCCAAATCTTTACTTCCCCTGTGATTTTAATGGTTGTATTTATAGCTTGGAAAATAAGGAGCTTGGAGGCCAAAAGGGGATTTAGCCTACCTGCTTCTACAAGGGTACATAACAGACAGGGGGAGTTTGGTAACATCAGAGATGTCTTCAGGGAGCTCTTCCCCTGACATTATTTGCCAAGTCACTGCTTCCAAGATGCAGGAGGCTCCATGAAATATTAGCATATGAATCCAGTCTTGTTCACCAGTCAACAGGATTTAGACTGTTAGCTCAGGCAATTTTCCCAACAAATAATCAATTTTTACGATTTAATGGGTAATTAAAACTTTAAAAAAAAATAGAACCTCAGTCACTGTATGCTACCGTGCCTCCAAGACAATACCTTTACTCATTTTTTGCTTATTCTGTCTGTAAGCATATTTGCAGATTAATGAATTAAAAAAAAAAAATCAATTAACTTACACAAGTGAAACAATCTGAGATGCTGCCCTTAGTTTTAGGTCCATGACAGAGAAGTATTTTGCCAGAAAAGGTTTCTTGGAGTCATCCAGAACTCTGACCTAAGCTTTAACTGTCTTTCCAATCTCCACCTGTAACAGTCACACGCAGTCATTTTTCATTTAAACTATTCTTATTTATTAGCATAAACGTTTTCATTTTATTTTGTATGACACTTCTAGTGAGGAACTAGAGATCAAGCCCCAGGGTTAGATTAGCACTGATTTTAAAGAATAATCTCTGCCAGCTGTGGTTAGTGTCAAATTATAGAGATGAATTCAAGACTTTCAGCTGGCAAGGGCATAATCCAAACATTCTGAAATATCAACACTATTTTGTGTAAGACACACCCAAGCTGGCAAGTAAAATGAGCTGGACTTTTTTTTGGTTCGTTTTTAAACCATGACATATGAAAAAAGATGTTATGGCAAAACCTAATTAAAAAAAACCAAACCTGTTCTCGTGCACTTTACATAACAGGAAAGGTAAATTAGTGTGTTCCTATAAACTAAGAATTAACATTGCTATGTAAAAGCAGAAGCTGAGCTTGCTGCCATGAACATGAAGTAAGAAACACCTGACAGACTTAGAACATAAAGGATAAATTTTGGAGGGAGAAACAGAAGCACAGGGAGAGCAAACTGTTCCTCTAAGGTCACAGAGCTCAGCAGAGGGCCTGAAGCACTACATCCTATCATCTTGTACATGTCTCATCTTCATGTGCCTGATCAGCCCAAGGAACCAGGGCAGTCTGGATCAGCTAATAATGCCGGTTTCAAAGCCACTAACCTTGTCAACGACTCGGACATACAGTTCCTGTATATCAGATACATAAATTTCAGCTTTAGCTGGTGCAGGGAGAGCCAAACATAAGTCATGAATCATTTCAGTCACTGATCCTGGGAGCAGAGGCTGCACCTGCAATGCCAAGAGAAAATTCTATTACAGCACTTCTTATTTTCATTTGTCTGTCTTTCATAGGATAAAAGTTGTATTGCTTTCAGGGCAGATGCAGTTGGATACAGAAGTCTTCAAGCTTTAGACACAGGTAATTCTTCCACCAAAGCTGAAGTAAAGCTGTAAAGTGTACATAAAAATATACTATTGAGCTGGAGCAAAGAGCCTCTTGGCAGCAAGTGAATTAACCTATCTTAATCTCAAAGCAGTCTGGCATCCTGTTATTCTCCCACTGCCATCAGAAGGACAAAAAGCCCACAACAAATGGCTCAGAGCAGTGTAACTTTTCTTAGTGCAGTGAAAAACAAAAGAATAACGAAAAAAAGAAACATCAGGGACGGAGCCTGTGTTTATAAAGGCATTGGTATTGCTTCCGACAAGACTCATAGCGTACAGTTCCTGCTTTTACTGTGAATGAGTAGCCAAAATCTGGTGGTTGATCTTCCCAAGCAATAGTAATAACTATTCTGATGTTTTTTAATACAAAGAATGTACACATTACACTTCTCAGAATACAAGAATCAAGCAATGAAGGAAGAGACCTCTGCTGACAAACACAAGCCCTCAGAACCAGGCACTGATCCCAGTCTTCTCCGCACACATTCTCAAGGCCATGCATCCACCTTGCTCACATCATCTGCAGTTCTCTTGCAACTTGCCTGACCTTGCCACACACCTCAGGGACGATTCCAGCTATTCTCTTCACCTTCACAGGTACCTTCACTTTGCCCAGACTGTACAGATATTTGTTGTCCTATTCTAGGTGCTCATCTGGCTTAAGATGAACTCTGAAACAAGGGGTGACAGACAGCCAGGCCCCCAGTTCAAAGGGATTCAATATCATCCCTAGCATTATTTGGCAGCACTATAGGACTTAGCAGTAAGAGCAGTGGGAAAGAGCTGACATTTTATCCTTTGAGGGCACCACTCTTGCCTCAAAATAGAAAGGAATATAAAGCTTTAATAAATGTCAGCTTTCAGAAGAGCAGCAGTTACCAAAGTAGGTGGCTAATACAGGTGTTGGGGGTACATATATTAACAGACAGACACGGGAAGCAGCGCTGGGGATGTGGCCAGGAGGGACCACAGGGAGGATGAGGTAAGGGAGCTCACCTGGGGCTGGGACACCAGAGAAAAGAAGCCACCAGAGTGGAGGGCTGGAAGGGACAGCAGGGCTACTACAGCTTACAGGGACTGCTCTTGTTCCAGATACTTCTCTCTTGTGTTCCCACCTCCTGTGAGGGCCGCCTAGCCTACACTGCTGACCACTATCCATTCCTCTCACGTGCCTGCTGACCACTATCCATTCTTCTCACGTGCTACCACCTATGCCCAGAAAAGTTGCTGT